CATTGTGTCTTGTGGTGGGGCTGGCCCTACGGTTTTCTCTGTTAAAGTTCTTTAATATCTTGTGGCTTAAGAGTTCTCATTTTTAAAAATCTCTGAATAGTCGTTGTGTGGATACACCATAGTTTTTCCATTCACCTACTGAAAGGCATCCTGGTTGCCTGAGTCGGCTTTACCTTTTGACAACTATGAATAAAGCTGCTCTAAACACTTATGTTTAGAGGCACTCACTTGTCTAGACCAAGACATTTAGAAGACAGCTACCTGGCCAACTGACTAAGAGAGATCCGTGTTTGTACTCATTCCCCACAAATTGTGACCCACCAGAATAAAGAAAATATCAAAAATATAATTAACATCACATGCAACAAAAATGTTCCTAAAGATCATTCAACAATAATTACAGCTGTCCATAGACAGGGAACTGCCAGAAACTCAAGCTGGATTTAGAAGAGGATGTGGGAAGAGGAACATCATGGTTGACCTCAGATGGATCTTGGCTCAAAGCAGAGAATACCCAAGAGATGTTTGTGTTTATTAACTATGCCAGGCATTTGACTGTGTGGATCATGACAAACTACAGGTAGCCTTGAAAAGAATGGGAATTCCAGAACACCACATTGTGTTCATATGGAACCATACCTAGTCCAAGAAACACTTGTTCAGCAGAATAAGGTTTAAAATCAGCATAGGTGTGTGTCAGAGTTGATCATTTCACCACACTTAATCAGTTTGTATGCTGAAAAATAATCTGAGAAACTGGACCATATGAAAACTTGTGTATCAGAATTAGAGGCTTATTAGCAACATGTGATATGCAGATAATACAGCCTTCCATGCTGAAAGTGAAGATTTGAAGCACTTGCTGAGAAAGATCAATGATTGCAGCCTAAAGTATGGATTACAATTCAATGTAAAGAAAACCTCAGTCCTCATAACTGGACAATAGACAGCTTTATGCTAAACTGAGAAAAAATTGAAGTTGTGAGATTTTATCTTACTTTGATCCACAATCAATGCTTATGGAAGCACCAGTGAAGAATCAAGCGACACATTGCATTGGGCAATCTGCAGTACGAGACTTCTTGAAAGTGTTAAAGATCAAGGATGTCACTTTGAAAAATAAGTTGTGCCTGGCCCAAGCTATGGTATTTTCATTCCCCTTGAATGCATGTGTCAGAAGGTTGGACCTTGACTATGGAAGACTGTAGCATGAACAAGGAAGATCACAGAAGAATTAATATTCAAATTATGGTGCTGGTGAAGGATATTGAAAGCACGCTGAACTGTCAGTAGAACCAAAAAAACAACAACCTATCTTGGAAAAAGATAGCTCCCAGATAAGCCACAATGTTCCCTAGAAGCAAGGAAGGCAAGAGTTTGTCTTAGGTACTTTGGACATGTTATCAAGAGAGATCAATCTCTGGAAAAAGACATTAGCCTTGGTAAAGTAGGTCAGTGAAAAAGAAGATGACCTTGACAAGATGGATTGGCACAGTGGTTGAAATTATGGACTCAAAGTATACTTGGGGGACAATGCAGGACTGGGCAGTAGTTCATTCTCTTGTAACATAACCAAATTGATGCCCCCTAACAACAGCAACAAATGTTTATCGTGGGATATAGAAAGGTTCTTCCTCAGGTTGTCCCCCCCATATTATATAGCAAATGCTGCTTGCTAACATATGGTCAATGTCTATACGCTTGGAGGTCAGCTGCTTAAGGTGATCTCCCTGAGGTTATCAGCCATCTAGAGCAATCAGACTCCATAGTTTGTCCCATGCTAGGTGGGGCTCACTCCCTGCTGATAGGGATAGTGGATTATTCCCCTGAAGGAGAGCCCAAAGACAAGATCAAGCCAACTCAAGGAGGATCATGGTTAGGTTGCCATCTTGAAACTAGGGTCTGCCCATCTAGTCACATGTGTACCCCTAGCTCATCCCCCTCCTATTGCATGTATGCCTATGGCACCACCCCTTCCTGTTATGATGTAATTAGGGGGGCTTGCACATCCCCAAAATGTATATAAGCTATGATTGGAGATACATTCTGTGTTAGTCTGGGTAGCTTCTGTTTATCGTTATTGATAAAATGATTGAAAGAAATTATTTGGGAAGTATGAAAATAGAACTTGTAAGCCCACTTACCTCGAGCCATTAATTGGATCATTAGATGGGTTTAGGACACACCAGCAGAGAAGTCTCTGAAAAGGTAAGCCCCACCCAGAACTTTGGAGTACTTAGGACATTTGCATTCCAAGAGACTTGCCTGGGGGCAAGCTTGACAGATTGAAGATTTAAAAAAAGAAACTCTGGATTTGAAGTTTGAACTCTACTGGTTTTTGTCAGAAGCTGGAAAAAATCTGGACCCATGAAGAAAACTCCTCTCTGGGACTGAACATTAAAGGGAGCCTGTAGGCAGGCTGAGATGCTTGCTAGGTGACCACCTGGATCTACTTGTTGAGTGGAAGTGGGAGAAATGCAGCAATAAAGAGACCGGTTGTGTCTGGCCACTGACACCTGTGGAACTGGTTTACGAGGAACTAGAGAAGATGAGAGCAGGTTGACTGGTCTGAAGTTCATGACCTAGCACAAGGGGCTAGGCTTGTTGAGAATTTGGGTTGCAGCCATGGTCTAAAGGCAAGGTGACCAATGGGCACCCTGGTGAGACTAAGTGAAACAGCCCACATTGAGTTGACCAGAACCTGATCAGATGAAGAGAAGATTTTTGATAATGTGTTAGTCTGGGTAGACTAGAGAAACAAATCCATGGACACACATATGTGTATAAGGAAGAGATTTATATGCAAGAACAATTGAACATTGAGAAAACATCCCAGCCCAGTCCAGATCAAGTCCATAAGTCTAATATTAGCCGATACCAATCTATAAAGTCCTCTTCAGACTCACGAAACACATGCAATGACACTGAATGTGGAAGATCACAGGCCAGTGGGTAGAAAGTCTTTGGATCCAGTGGCATTGGAAACATCTCAGCACTGGCAGGGGTCTCTGCATGGCTCTCTGCACACAGGACTACATCAGGGTGGGTTCATGTGTCTTGGCAGCTGCTATCTCTCCCGGGGTGTGGCAGAGAGAGAAGTGTCTCCTGCCTCCAAGAAGGAATTACTAGATTTCCCAGAATTCTCAGAAGGCCATGCCCACACAGAGGTCTCATTGGCTATCATCTGATTGACAAGCTAGACTCCACCCCTATACTCTTAATCCTCAAATTGACAAACAATTATATATCTACCACACATTTGCACTCTCTGTGTGCACCTGCTGCTATCATGGCCGTCCAAGAGGTGAACAATTGCATGCCTTATCTTGTCTGATGTCTCTTTAATTTTACCCCTCAATCACACAACCGCCCCTTGAACCTGTTCTATTGGGGGTCTGATACCCCACAGTTTATGTTCAGAAAGATTCTTATTTGTGTTTCATTGATGCTGCAAAGGCATTTGACTGTGTGGTTCATATCAAACTGGATAATGTGACAATTACAGAACACTTCATTGTGCTCACATGGAACCTGTGCACTAATTAAATTTTTTTTTCTCATTTTATTAGTTAGGAATAGGCTCAAAAGCATATAATGAAAAACTTTAAATAGTAGTAGCTTAAACAAATTTAGGTTAAAATGTTTAACTATTGGCATTGTGATGACCATTTTTATATGTTTTTTCTCGTAAAGGTTTTGTAACTTCTGCCAAATTACTGAGACAGACTATGTTTGTGGTCCACCAAGTGGATCAGACTATTTGCTAATAATGCAAATAAGGTGGATGGCAACCTTGTGGGGATGGGCCGATACAATTAAATATAGAACGTTAGCGAGAGGATTGGTCAGTTTTGCCATCCTCCAGGGCCTTAAAATGAGCCATTCCTAAAGTAAAAGGGGGAACCTGAATACCACCAAGAAAAAAAGATGGAAGCGGGGTATGTCTTATAGACATAGGATCCCTGTGTTGGAAACCTTGAAGACCCTGGAGACAGAGAGCTGTAACACTAGAGATGGTGAGAGATGGCAAGAAGCAGCCGTAAAGAAAAGGAGACTGCAGAAGCACTAGAACAGAGACTGGCAGGAGATGGCACAATCTGCTTCTGAGCCCATGGAATGAGACTGCTGAGCACCGGCCATTAGGCAGGAGCTTGCAGGTAGAGGATGGTGCTTCCAAGTACTTGTTGAAGCTAGGCTCATTGACTCAAAGAATTGGTGCCATCAAGTTGAGGCTTACTGGTGGAGTGGGGTGCCCCAAGTACTTATTGGTGGAGCTAGAGAGCTGTATAACACTAACCCAGGTAGGACAGTAGCCAGGCCAGCCCAGTAGCTTTGGACTTCTTGCAAACATGACTGATAGGAATCTGTCCTGATCAAAGAACTGAATCCTCAGTAATTTCTGATCCTGAATTGTAACCTGCCAGTTTCCTATATTTGTGAATATTGTCTGTGAGTCCCTCGTGGCCATACAGGTAATGATTGAAAACAGCGGAGAAGCTGAGAGTACTGTGGGAATTGCCAGTGTGTTTATTGGTAAAATGGTTGAGAGAAGAGGTATGTTTGACAACTGCTTCCTAGGAACCAGCCTCGGGTTCACTGCAGGGATTCTCTGTCTCCCTGGTGACGTTAGAGATGGGCAGTCACATCACTGCCATAACATCCCAGATTCATCATGTTGCTGGGATTCTTAATTGACCATTGCTCTAGTTTGGATATTTAGAGATAGTTTCCAAACTGGGGCTATTATAAATAACTTTAGGGACGTCTGGTGGTGTAATGGTTATGGGTTGGGCTGCGATCTGCAGAGTCAGCAGTTTAAAAGCACCACGCACAGCTCTGTGGGAGAAAGACGAGGCTTTCTGAAAACAGTCCTGGGAAATTTTTCCAGGAGAGAAATAACTGGTCAGAAGCTCTGACCATTTGATAGTTCTTGCTAGGTATTGATATGTAGAATGGTATTTTTCTTTTTAGTAGGCTAATCACTTTTTTTCTCCTCTAAGGAATACATGAATGATAAAAATATTATCAAAGCCATAGAACAGCAGCAGCAAGCAGAGGAAGATGAAAAGATTAGAAATTTGATCAAAGCAAAAAAGCGTCTTACACAAATGAAGAACGAAAAAGAAGCTGAAACAAAAAGGTAGGCTATGTCTTATAAAATAAAGTACTATCTGAAGTTATTCCATTACAAAACAAAGTGTGCTATGAGAGTGTTCTTTAGGAATAGAAGTTCATTATTTATATATGACTAGAATACTTAGTGGCATGATTGTACAGTTTGGAGAATGTGAGATGAGGTATCTTTGACATATTCAAGACAGCTATCTATACGGTTGAAAATACTAGGCCCTTTTAGGAGAGAGGGAGTCCTAGTGGCTCAGTGGTTACACTTTTGGCTGCAATCTGTAAAATCATAGTTCAAAACCACCAGCCGCTCTGTGGGAGAAAGATTGGGCTTTCTATTCCTGTAAACAGTTACAGCCTTGGAAATTCACTAGGGCAGTTCTACCCTGTCTTATAGGGTCGCTGTGACGCAATATTGACTCGATGGCAGTGAGTGTGGTTTTGGGTTGGTAAGAGAGAGGTGATTCAGAGATGGATTTGGGGCCATTGGCTTATTAGTAGTAATTAGAGTTGTGGTTACACATGGGCTCACTTCAGGAAAGTAGGTGAGAAACAAACGGTGTCAGAATCCCAAGAGAATGTCAACATTTAAAGGTCAAATGGAAAAGATAATATGAAGATTCAAAATTTCTATCAACAAGACTCAAAGTTGGTTCTTTGAACATATTAATAAAATTGACAAACCACTGGGAAATCTAACAAAGAAAAATAATAAGATGCAAATAACATATATAAGAAATGAAATGGGCAGAATTACAACAGGATCAACTGAAAGAAAAAGGATAGTAACAGAATATTGTGAGAAAAAAAACAAACCCTACTCCAACAAATTTGAAAACTGAGATGAAATGGCCACGTCTTTAGGAATGTACTACTACCTCAACTAACAGAGTTAGGTAGAAAACTTGAAAAAACCCATAATAAAAGAATAATTGAATAAGGCCATTAAAAATTTCTCCCTCCCAAAGAAAACAAAAACCAAGATTCAGACTAGAGTTGACAGCCTTTCAGAATATGGCAAAGGATGGAAAACATCTGGATTCATTTTATGGAGTAATATAACCCTGATAGCAAAACTAGGCAAAGGCATCACCCCAGATCTATATCACAGAATTATTAAGCCAGAATAATACATTGATGTACTAAGTCAATGTTGGTCCACGTAGCAACAGTTCAGTACTCTTGGTAGAGTTGTTTTCTGCTACTTCACACACCAGGTACTCAGATTACAGGAGTGTTTGAGGTGAAGTCTGGTTCACCTAGTGGAGTTTCCACAATGGATCTATCCAGTTTGGCTTTTGGAGCATGATGGGCACACTGAAGATCCAGGGTTTCATGCCCCAGTGTATGACACTTGGCGTTGGGTTCCCCGAAAAAAGTATTTTTCAATGTGGAGAATTTTAACACATTTTCTCCCAGGTGTGTAAGTAAGATCATGTATAAGCAAATAAGATCAGACTGTACATATTAACTTTTTTGAGTTCTTAGAATGTTACTTTTAATTATTAAAATTTTTTTCCACTTAAAACAATCTACATATATAGAAGCAATGAGACTCCTTTTGTTTTTGTCTAAGATTGTAAAATATTTCAGACTTCCTAGTTAAACCACACTGGCTTCATAAGTAATCTAAGAGCTCTGACAGGGCTGTGGGGTAAGCATGGTCAGTGGTTCAAACCCACCAGCTTCTCTGTGGGAGAGATTTATAGTTTCAGAAACCCTGTATAGGGTCAGCATGACTAAGAATTGACTTGATGGCAGTTAGTGGGTTTAGGCTTTACAGCTAATCTGTTCATGAAATTTTGATGTTATGACTGTTTTCTTATAGGCTAATGGAAGAACGGAGAGAAAGGATTAATAACTTCCTAAGTAAACTAATAAAAGAGAAACTTGACAATGAAGATTTGATTATCGCCAGAGATATTGCTGAAGCAGAGGCTGAAAAGGAAAAAAGAGACCGCGAAAGATATGAAAACAACAAAGCAGAATTAAAAGAGATTGCAGACTATAGAGCCAACGTGGTAAACAATTATGATAATTAAAAGTGAAGAGACAGATTTAAGCACTTAAGACTGTCGGTTCACCCTCTCCACCTCCCAGACCCCAAACTGGCAGAGATTTAAAAATCAGTATATCAGTAACTTCCTATAGTCTTTAAATTAGATCATGTTCACTCTTTAACAGAAGAGGACAGGATATTCAATTACAAATAAGATATTTATAGGTGCAAAAGGGCATTTGCTATTTCAGAATCCTCTGAAATTAGCTGCAAAGATTATATTCATGTGATGCAAATATTTCATTTGAATTTTTTTCAAAAGCCAACATGACTGTTTCCTCTTCAAAAGTTATTCCTACAAAACTGTGTGTCATACTGGATATTTAGACTGGATAGTTAGGAAACATACAAACTCATCTTTCATCTACAAATCTCTATTCACCTTGAAAAGATCATGCTTTTGTATTCCTGTATCTTCCTTTTTAAACTTGAAGATTAGCCTGTATCACTCTAGTTATAGATATTTTTAAATCATTTTATTGGACTCTTACAGCTCTTATAACATCCTATACATCGATTGTTATCAAGTATATTTGTATATATGTTGCCATCATCATTTCCAAAACATTTTCTACTTGAGCCCTTGGTATAAGCCCATTTTTCCCCTCCCTCCCTCTCCCAACCTACCACCCTGGTGACTCATTGATCAATTATATATTGTTATTATTATTTCATACCGTACACTGTCCATTGTCTCCCCCTTCCCCTCCCGCGGCTACCCCCCTCCCCTCATACCGCTGCTACTCCCACTGCTCTTCCTGAGGGGGTTCTCTGTCCTGAATCCCAAGTGCTGAGTGAGAGCCCTTGTCTGTACCAGTGTTATGTTCTCCATCTAGCTATATTCTCACTGGGTGTTTCCTGCTGGTCAGAAAGAAAAAAGCCGTTAGGACTTAAAGGAAGGACACGATGGTTTCCACTCCTGCATCACTTCTGGTGACCTCGTCCTTGGACTTTTCTAACTCCATGCCTTACTAGAAAGCACTGGTTCCTTACACTGCCTTTAATTTCTTCCCTCTGCCGTTTCACTTCTAGATGAAAAGTAAAGAGGAAGAAGAAAGACAAAGAAAAATAAATGCCAAAGAACATCTGATGGATATACTGAAAGCAGATAAAATTTTTGTGGAGCACGAAAGAGAGCAAAAATGCAAAGTTGACGAAGAACGCAGAGAAGTTCAAGATGCTCATATTCAGCAAATGGTAATTATTCCCAAATGCGCTTGCTTATTTTAGCAATAATCTTGTTCTACAGAACTCATGCCACTTTTTCTCTCTCCCAAGCAGTGTTCTCTTTTGGCTAAGAACAAACGATCACTGTGGTGGTCGCCCTTAGAGCCGTCAGGTTGACTTTGGCGCATAGTGAACTTAGCCTGGTCCTGCCCCCGCCCTCACGACGGCCGTGTCTGTGCACAGAGCTGCAGCCCCTGCACGAGCCATGTCGTCCAGGGCTCCTCTCTTCTGCTTACCATCTACTTTCCCTTCTACTACCTGTTGTTATGATATGACACAATAAGGATAAAAGATGTAAAATTGGTTTCTACTTTCATCTTTATTAAAGTTCCCATACTAAGTTGATATTTTTGCATAAACATTTTTTCCTTTTTTAGTGCCTCTTGGCCTCAGTAAGGATACAGAAAGCACAAATGCATATGGCAGCCCATCCTGCTTTTCCTTTTCCCCTTTGTGAGTACATCCCAGACACTGTGGGGATTGCAGTCTCATAGCCTTTAGATTTGAGGTGCGTCAGCGTACCAGAGATATTATAAGATGTCTGCAAGATCTCGCATCCGTTTATTTGTGACTGAAATCTATTTCCCAAAATGGCGATTTCACTTTCCGTTCCTGCCAGCAACCTCCAAGCCCTGGTGGTCCTCACTTCTGCCTGCACTCGCTGTCCTCCTGCTCAGACACTTCGAGTGGCCAGTTAGGTTTGAACTTGCATTTCCTTAGTGACCAAAGATAATGAACCTCTTTTCATGTGCTTCTTAGCTAGTTATAAATATATAAGCCGCCTTTGGTGACATGCCTGTGCAGAACTTTTGCCCATTTTTTAAAAATGGGTTGTCTGTGTTTTCTTAGTGTTGAATTCTGAGTTCTATAGAGAAGTGCTTTGTGAGATATATATGCATAAATATTTCCTCCCCATTTATGACTTTTTATTTTCTTAATGGTATCTTATGATGAACAAAAGTTTTTAATGATGATGCAATCCAATTTATCAATTTTTAAATTTTGTAACGCATGTTTCCTATATCACTGCTCAGAAAACCTTGCCTACGCTAGGTCATAAAGATTTTGTCCTAAAAAGAAAAAAAGATTTTGTTCTATGTTTTCTTTTCTTTTAGAAGTTTTATCCATTTCTTATATTCAGGTCCACCTTGAATTACTTTTAGTATATGATGTGAGGTAAGAGTCAAAAGTTGTTTTTCTTCCATATAGATGTTCAGTTTTTCTAGTTTTGTTTAATGAATAACTGTCTTTTTCTTGAATTACCCTGGAACTTGGATTGAAAATCAGTTGACCATATACATGTTTGTCTATAGCCTTGTAAATGGTTAAGAGAAACACGTTTCTGTGCACTTTGGTCAACTGTATTTTCAGAGATCACCTAGAGTACTTACTCCACTTTCTAGTCGGCCCACACTGGTAATGCCACTCAATGTTCCAACCTTAAAATCTTGGGAGAGAATGTAATTGGTTAATTCCGCTCAACTACTTACTGTTGGCCATCTCTTTTGTGATTAAGTCACATAATATATTGGGCTGGTCTAGGGACTATTGTGAATGTTGTTAGGTGCCCCTGAGTTGGTTCCAACCCAGAGCCACCGTATGTACAACAGAAGGAAACACTGCCTGACCTTGTACCATCTCACAGTGGTTCCCATGTCTGAGCCCATGGTTGCAGCCACGGCGTCAGTCCATCTCCTTGAGGCCCTCCTCTTCTTTGCTGCCCCTCTATTTTTCCAAAGATGATGTCTGTCTCCAGGAACTGGTCTCCTGAGAGCATGTCCAAAGTATGTAAGAAGACGTCTCGCCATATTTGCCGCTAAGGAGCACACTAGCCTTACTTCTTCCAAGACAGATCAGTTTACCCTTTCAGCATTTTAATATTCTTCTCCAGCACCACAGCTTAAACACATCAATTCTTCTGTCTTTTTTAATTCAGCTTCCAACTTTCACATGCGTATGTGGCAATGGAAAATACCATGGTTTGGGTTAGACGCTTGTTTTTCAACACTTAAATAGGTCTTGTGCAACAGATTTACCTAATGCAACTCATCTTTTGATCTTTTGTCTGCTGCTTCCATGAGCATTAATTGCTCAAGACAAATCCTTGACAACTTCAACTTACCTCCAGTTATCACGATGCTACCTATTGATCCAATTGTGAGGATTTGGGTTTTCCTTTCATTGAGTTGTAATTATACTGACGCTGCAGTCTTGATCTTCAACAGCCAATGCTTCCAATCCTCCTCTCAACAAGCAAGGTTGTGTCATCTCCATATTGGGGGTTGTTAATAAACCTTCCTGCAGTCTACATTCTTTTCTTTTCAATAGTTTTATTGGCACATAGTTTACATAGCATACAATTCAATAGTTCAATCATATAAAAATTATATAATCATTACCATATCAACTTTAGAACATACTCCCCTCCATGGTTAAATCGCCTTTAAAATGAGTTGTGCAATCACAATCCGTTCTAGTGCTCCCTCCATTGTTTACTCTCGAAATCCCCTTTCCCTCCCTATCACGCACCCCGTACCCCTACATTTCCAATAAACCCTTGTATCAGTTATAACTATGCATACACTTCTCCTGTGCTTCCAACTGGGAAACACAACAGAAACAATACAAAACAAAATTGAAATAAGGTGTTAAGGATAAAATCATAAATAATATAGAATACAAATAATGAGTAAGAAAGAAAAGACCCCCATCAACATTCAAAAACCAAGGAAGAAATTTCTGTCATGGAACAAATAAGAAATACTTGTACCCAGAACAAATTCAGGTCCAGAGGTCAACTGGCCAAGTATTGAGTTTGATCCAGCATAATCAAGATTACAACGGTCTCTGCCTGATATTGAGTGTGTTCGAGACTCTTGCCTGTGGCTGAAGGGGATCTTCCAACCAGCTCAGTCTGTCTGGATACTCTGCAGTTGGGTTTGGGATTCCCACTGTCCTCCATAGCCTTCTTTAAATTGGGTGTTCATAATTTTAGCTCTGATACTTTTCCTTTAGCCATATTTAAATTTTGTGATTGTCATCTTTGGATCACACAAGCTGGTGTGCTTCTTCCATGTGGACTTAGTTGACTCCTCACTTAGATGGCTGCTCGTTTGAATACAAGCCTTTAATACCCCAGACATTATTCTGATTGATAGCTAGGCACCCTCTGCTTTCCTCACCACACTTTGCTGTACCACCATTATCTTCAGTGGTCCTTTCATGAAGGTGAGTATCAAGCAGGGCCATGTTATTAGAACTGTTTTTTAATTGGGGCTACAGGTAAGTAGTAGCCCAGATTCCACCTGTTTGTCCATAGGGTTTGCACATCTCAGGTTTACTTTGGCTGTCGTAATATAACAAAATCAAAACCCTATAAGATCAACTGCTGCATCAATAGCAGCCACAAGCCAACCAGCAACCAAACAGAACACACACGAAAGAAAAATCTACAAGCAGGAAAAATCAAAAACCCATATGAACAAAGATGTATAGCCTTGTCAATCACCCCCTGGAATCTAAGTCGATTACACTAGTGTCATCGTCAATGAGCAGTCTATATGAGTACATTTCCACCGTGAACTGCAACCCATGAGTTTTTGCGCTACAGAGCTTGAGTTCCCATTCGATTGGGCTCTGTTGACCCTCAGTATGGGGACTGATGCCAAGGGGGGACCTTCCTGGATCAATTCTTCCAACTGTAGATTCCTGCTTCCCTGGTGTGCCACTACAAGGTACTACATGTATGGTGATTCTGGGTCCCTTTCTATTGGACACCCACCAAGCCAGGGGTTCCCCACAAGGTCCAGTGACCACCACTTCCACAGTCCTGGGGTAGCCATCCAATCCACATTCTTCTTCATATAAGATAGGCTCCCTGATGATTTAGTCGGCATACAGATTGAATAAGTATGGTAAAAATGTATAACCCTGATGCACACCTTTCCTGATTTTAAACTACGCACTATTTTCTTGTTCCTTTCGCATAACTGCCTCTTGATCCATGTACAAGTTCCACAATTACAATGAAATATTCTGGAATTCCCTTTCTTCTCAGTGTTGTCCATAGTTTATGATCCAGTTCAATGCCTTTGCATAATCAATAAAACACAAACATCTTTCTGGTATGCTCTGCATTCAGCCAAGATCCATCTGACATCAGCATTGATATCCCTTGTTCTACATCTCTTCTGAATCTGGCCTGAACCTCTGGCAGCTTCCTGTCAATGTACTGCTACAAAGGGTGTTGGACGATCTGAAGCAAAACTTTATTGGCATGTGATATCAGTGACACTGTTCTATAGTTTAAGCATTCTGTTGGGTCACCTTTCTTTGGAATGGGTACAAATATGGATCTCTTCCAGTCAGTTGGCCATGAAGCTGTCTTCCAAATTTCCTGGCATAGAAAAGTGAGTGCTTCCAGAGCTTCATCAGCTTGTTGAAAGATTTCAATAGGAATTCCATCAATTCCTACTGCCTTGTTTTTGGCCAATGTTTCAGTGCAGCTTGAATTTTTTCTTCAGCATCAATGGTTTTTGCTTACATGCTACCTACTGAAATGTTGGAATGTCAACTAGTTCTTTTTGGTATAGTGACCCTTTGTATTCTCCCCATCTTCTTTAGATGCTTCCTGCATCATTTAATATTTTGTCCATAGAATCTTTCAATGTTTCAATTCAAAGCTTGTAGTTTTTCTTGAGATCTTTCAATTTCTGATATGCTAAGCACGGTCTTCCCTTTTGATTATCTTATTCTAGGTCTTTGTATACTTCATTATAATATTTGGCATAGTCTTCCTGAGCTGCCCTTTTAAAATTTGTATTTAACTTTTTGACTTCATCTTTTCTTTCATTGGCTTTAGCTACTGTTCCATTAAGAGCAAGTTTTCAAAACATTTTCTGACATCCACTTTAATCTTTTCTTTCGTATATTTTTAATGACCTTTACAGCTCATCAGGTTCTTGCCATTAGTGCTCAGTGCATCAAATTTCTTCTTGAGATGTTCTCAAAATTCAGTAGATGAGAAACTGAACTTCATCCTGAACTTGTAGATGAGAAACTGAACTTCATCCTGAACTTGTAGATGAGCAATTCCACAGTTAGCTCTTGACTTGGTTTTAGCTGCTGATACTGAGCTTCTCCATGGTGTCTTCCCACAAATAGAGTCTATTTTATTTTGGTGTTTTCTATCTGGAGAAGTCTATGTGTAGAGCAACACACCAGCCCCCACAGTATGACAACCTGACAGACAAGTGGTGGGGTGGTGGGAATGAATAATTTCCTCTACGATGGTTGATCAGTTGGGAGGCAAATATTGTTCTGTCCTTTTGGCCTGTATCATTTTGGTTAACTTCTTCAAAATAATAGAAACAGGATTCAAACTGTGCTTACCTAAATTTCTTTAAATGGTTAAAAGAAAGAGTTCAAATGTTTAACTGTTTTCTGTGTTTGAAGATGCATTACTTAAGGCTATTATTTTCTCCAAGCCATTACTTTATGTGAAATGATATTCAGAAATGCATGAGTTTTGAAATGAATCACAGTATATAATTATTAGAACAGAATTCATAAATTAGAGGATTATGCTTATAATACAGAATTATATAAAAAATTGATCTGATAAACCGATATGAATTTGAATTCTTTCTTTCTCAAATAGGCCAAAAACAAGCTTAATACAAAGCTATTAAAAGAAGAAGAAGTAGATTATTGCAGACTTACTGCAGCAATTGCTGTTGAAAAGGAGAAAGAATTCCAGGATTATGCAAAAGAAGTGATTAAATCGGAGTCCCAGTCAACTGAAAAATACATTTATCCTCTTGTAAAAGCTGTACAGGAAGGACCTGGATGTGGCCATGGACCAGTGCTTGTGGACAGAGGTGGATTAAGACCCAGCTATCAGGCAACAGATGTCACTGGAGTCCAGCTCCCTTTTTATAATTCTCAGGGATCAAAATATAATAATTATCAAAAGTCTAAAGGAAGGCTAGGTTTTACATGGTAGAAAAATTTATTTTTATTTTTAAGATTGAAAAGACTAAGTTGTAGCAAATAGTATGTGCTACAAAGGTAAATTAATTATATACCTATAATTTTTCAATAAAGCTGCTCTTCATCTTAGTACATTTGTGAATGATTTAGTTCATTTTTCATATTTCTATTGACTATGTAAATCCCCAAAGTTAACTTATTCACACTGTTAAAATGCACATGAGTTGGCCTTTTACCTACTTAACATACAGTTCAGTGGCATTGAGTACATTCAGAACATGTGAGACTGTCAGCTTTATCTAGTTCCAGAAATTTCTTTATCTCAGAAGGAACCCCCATATTCAAGAAGAATCTCTCCCTTTCCTGCCAGCTCCTGGCAACCACTAATCTGCACTTTGTTTGACTTTTCCTTTTTTGGATTGTGCTGAAGTGAAACTGCTTGGTATGGCTCTTCCACCCATGCTCAGTGGCTGCCCAGGGACGGAGTGGGAGCATGAAATCAGGTGTAGAGGACTGTAACTCAGGGACTGGTCAGTTTTGCCATTCCTCGGGGTATGCTAACCATCCCAAGAGGATGAAGGGAGGAAATTCCAGGATCAAGAAAGGCCCCCAGAGGAGCATGCGAGAGAGCGCCCTCCTGACCTGGCCCAGGCACCAGAGGATACAGCACACCAAGATCCTCACACACACAGCAGCGGAGCCCAACGGAGACCTAGTGGTAGAGCAGAGGAGCAGCACCGAGACCAGGAACCGTGGGCCCACAGAACCAAGCAGAGGTCATAAGACCATGGGGCCGAGAGGCTAAGGTTCAGAGAGATTTGACTACTGGCTGAGAAGCTCACCCTGACTTGTGGTAAACTTGCTAATTTCCCTAATAAACCCCATTAATCACTAAGTATTGCCTGTGAATGCTGTGTGGTCATTGCAACAGATTATCAAAACCAGCAGAATCGAGTGCCATGAGAGGAACGGTTGCTATCAGCGTAGGGTAAAGGAAGAACGATGGGTGGAGGCATAGCTGACCTGACTTGGGGCAATTGGCCTTGGGTTGGTGTGGTGTTGCGTTCTTCTCCCTCTTTGAGCTGGAGGTCAGGGTGGAACTCATGTCACTTTTTCATAGGCATCTCATACAAACATATAATATGTGGCATTTGTGCTTGGCTTTATCAGTTGGCATGATATTTTCAAGGGTTATGTGTATTATAGCATGTATCAACACATTGGTTTTTTGGTGGATGAATAGCTTCTTGTGTGGGCAAGCCACATTTTGCTTTTCTGTTTATCTGTTGATAGACATTTTTTGGGATGTTTTAATCTTTTGGATATTGTGAATGAACTATGGAAAATTTTGTACCAGTTTTTGTTTGAACACATTTTCAGGTCTATTAGAATTGTTGGGTCTTCAAAATGTTCATAGAAAGATGGAATGAAAAGATAGCAGAATTTTCCCACAATGTGAAGCCCCTTGTAAGCTTATTGTGTTGAATTGTTTGAGAAAACACCAAACTTGTCTGCCACCGTGGCTGAACCATTTGATAGCCCCACCAGCAATACATTAGGGCTTCAAGATACTTCTTTGCCAACACTTTTTCCTATGCTTATCTACGTGCTGTGAGGTGGTATATTAATTGTGGTTTTGATCTGCATTTCTGTGATAACTCCAAATTTCTAACATCTTGTACCTATTGATCATATGCATTTATGTAGAGAAATGTCTGTTCTTTTGCCCATTTTTAAATAAAGATTTGTTATTGAACTGAATTTTAAAAAATGTATTCTTGTATACCAAGTACTTAAAAGTTTGTGGAAAAATAGAATGAAAATATATGGAATTTTTCATTGACATTTTTGGAGCATGTGTGTATGTATATATGTGTACTATATAACCTATGAAAGCTAGTACCTATGTAAGGTAGAGACCTGTCAGAGAAGGAAAACTCACATTTTCTACTGTCAACCAGAGGACTCTACTTTTTCAGCAAGCTCTTTAGTTCACTGCAATGGCCACACAGAACTCAAAACTACACTCTCGATGGGACAAATTACGGAAGTTAACAGGTTACAATTCCGGTGAGAAATGCCCAGTCAGGCATGTTACAAAGTATTTTTCGGATGCCAAATGCCCAAGGTCATGCCACTCCTGTAAGCTTCACTTTAAAGGCACTTGGCTCATTCCATGATTTAGCAAACAACTCCTCAAATTAAGTGCCCCAAAGCACCCCACTCCAGTAAGCCACAACCCAAAGGAACTTAGCTCCAGCACCATGGATCAGCAATCCCAGCTCCCCCAATTAAGTGCCGAGAAACTCCCCACTGAACAAGCCAGCCTCTTGCCCCAAAGCCCACAGCATACCTTGTTCTATAGGTTGGGAAATCCATCACTCTTACCTCCTGTTCAGACTTCTGGTTTTGCTGCTGCTGCTGCTCTGCCACTCTAGTGTCAAAGTTGTCTTCCTGGATCAAGGAGGCTCACTGTGCAGGGATCTTGAGGGTCAGAAAACATTCCACCCTGAGCTGTTGCTGGCAGTGGAATCCCCCTGAAATGGCTCACTTTATAGCCAACCATAACTCACAGCTGAGTCATTTTATTATTATCTTCCCCCATCATAGAAAAAGCTGATTGAAGTTAGAGGATGTAACTAGAAGAACCACTGCCCTGAAATTTTCCACTAAAATGGGCAATAGCAAATATTAAGACTGGAGCTTGTCGAAGGCGGAAAACTTGCAAGACCCAATCAGGCAGTTCCATCGAGGTCTGGCTCTTACAGGTGTAGTTTGTAATTACTTCCTCCTATGGGTTATCTTTTCACCCATATTGATGCAGATACTTTAAATTTTGATAAATTTCACCTAATTTATCAAAAATTGTTTTGTTGCTCATATTTTAAAGCTAAGAATCCACTGCCCATACCAAGGTGATAACCCTCCCCCCCTCCCATACCTTCTAAGAGTTTAGAAATCCTAGCAACTGAAGTTAGATTTTGGTGCATTTGGAGGGGTTCAACTTCATTCTTTCCCTAAATCCCTCTGTTAAAATGAAAAATAAAGGGGAGAGGGTACCCCCAATCATGTTAACCACCTATAAAAATAACAAATTTTCTAAAGGTGTAATTTTGGGATAAAGTGAGAATGCAGTGTTGGAAAGTATTTCCACATGCTGCTTGTAAGCAATGTAATCATGCTACTTCAATAAAGCATTATAGTTTTCAATCTCAACACTTATGGAACTTCTTGAATATTAGCCTATAGCGTGAGTGCAAGATTTACTGGACATTTTGAAATTTAATTTTCTTGTTTGTGACTAGATTAAAACATTAAGATTTTGTAACTTTTCCATATAAGTGGATAATCAGGTTCTTTTGCTAATCTGTTAAATTATTGTAATCTCTCAAAACTGCATCTCCAAATAGGACATTACTGAGAAACAGACCGGTGTTTGGTACATAATCCATATCCCATTGTTGTGCTTAGAAATTAAGCCCTACAAGGCTCACTTATCTCAAGGTATGTGGTAAGATATTCAAGGCTCAACGAGCACATTATCCATGTATTGTGTGTACACAGCACAGGGGATTTACATGTTGGGCTGCTAACTACGGAACTTTGCCATTCCAACCACTCCAAGGCTTTCTGCTCCCATAAAAATTTACCATTCTTAAAATCCAAAGGGGCATTTTTACTAGCCCTATAGGGACACTATGAGTTGGAATGGATTTGATGGTAGTGAATTTGGTTTGAATTTACTGAGACTTGAACACAGGGTTATAGTTCATCTAGACAACCAGCACTAGGCTTGTGGTAGTTTGTTTTCTACAGCAGAATTTTGTAGATCTAGTTCTTGACCTATTATTTTCCCAACCTCGCATTTTGACTACTAAAGGTGTAAGCTCTTATGGCAATGTGCAATTTTCTGATAAGCCAATCTGTAGCTTTGTTGAATTCACAATATCCCAAAGACCCAAAGGGTCTGCTCTAGTATGCCTTAACTACAAGATTTTTTGATGGTAGAATCATTTTTGGGAAACTGATAAAAATTGCACTCTTTATTTCCTGAACTTCACAAATTCACTCCAAGGCAGTGGTTTTCACCCATACTTGATTCTGATTTTGTACATCTGGCTACCTGTACTTTTAAAACATGGCAGATGATTCTTTGGACAGTCATGGTTCCCAAACATTGTGAGAGCCATGAACCTGGGATTTAAATGATATTTTGTTTTAAAAAATGGCTATACAAAAAAAAAAAAGGCTATACATCTGAATTATTATTATAAAGGAACTACATACATGGATTTCTAAGTTACGTGCCAAAGTGCTAAAGGGATGATGCTAATATTTGACATAGAACTTTTACCACATTGCTTGCTGCATTCCTTTCAATGAATGACATTTCTGTTAATGATTTTTCAGCTGTTGCTGGGATAAAGTTCAAATACTGCATGAAAATCCGTGTAGAACAGGAAATGTTGGTGGTTGTATCCAATTTGATTGGTTTGACAAGTTTTACAACACATTCATTAGTAACTTATTTCAAATGGCTATACCTATTAGGACTTAATATTTTAGTTATTTCATTCACTAATAAACAAGGCTGTTAGGTATTTCCCTTTGCCTAGAGATAGCACCTAACAATTATTGAAACAGTGGGCACAATAAACCAGAAAGTTTTGGAACCTCTGCCATATATACTACTTCTTTTACCTTCAGTTGCAAGAGGTAAAGTATGTATAATATGGGGATGAATACTAGTTTTTGATAAAGCTACCTAAATACTGGAGTATAAGTCAACCAGAATATCAGTCGATGCACTTAAATTTACCACAAAAGCGGCATTAAAAATATACTGAAAAACTTGGCTTATATACACGAGTATATACAGTAGTTTCCCCAATATAACAAGTCCGTTTTCACAAAGTGGTAATTACAAAAATTTGTTATACAGCCCATTTAATTAAGGTGAAGAATTGTAGAAAACAATTATATGTTATTCTTTTGTTTTACTTTCAATTGTGCTGGATTTCCTAGTACTCAAAAACACACACACGGGGCTGTCTGCAGGCTTACCACAAAATCACTTCAGTAGAAAGGCCTGTGGCAAAGCCCTCCTCAGCCCTGTGAAAACACAACTGCTCGAATTTGCGAAGAGAAACCCAAGGGCAAACGTGTGGCAAAGATATACACTGGAACCAAGGCACTTAAGGTACTAAGGATTTGAGGGTGGATATGGGAGGTGTAAAAACAGTAAGTTAGCACTTTAAAAGTGAGAGCACAATATTGGATTAAGAAACGTTTAAGAAACTTAGAAAGCAATGAAAATAGAAAAAACAAATTGATGCTAAAAGTATTTTAATACGTAATTTGCAAAGTCCATAGAAAGCACTCACATTTTATGTGCTCTCTTGGCTATAGCTTAAAAACACTTCATCGTCACGTGTTACCACATACAGCCCACTGGATGGTCAGAATGTCTGACTAGGTGATCAGTTTCAACGACTGTCATCAAGAAGTATGTACATTTTCTCTAAATGCCTCATTTATGTAGAAACAAAACCAACACCGTTCTCCCCCCAAACACCCCAACTCCAATTAGATTTTGCAAAAGTAAAATTAACATTCATATGGCTTCACAATGGTAAGTGCTATATTTAAACTAGGAATCAAGAGTTTATTGTTTCCAATGCTGAAAAATTTAGAGGAATTAAGCAAATAGTACTCTTCCAGTTGACAGTAAAGCAAATCCAAGTTGGATCTTAGAAGTTTGCTGAGACAAAAGACACTGAAACTTGATGCACTATGAATAAATATTTACACTAAAACTTCTTTCCCAAATCTCTTCCTGGAAACTGTCACTTCTTGTTAAAATGTTAAAACTCTTTGTTGCATTATATAATACAAATACTTCCATATCTCGAGTAAAATAAAACTATTTTTTATTTTGTCTTCATTACTTGGCTTTTAATAAAAATAAACATTGAACACAACAATTTTAAGAATACCAAAAAAATCCTGTTTATTATAGTAGCTTATTTGATACAATGTGTAACTATAAAAGTTAATACAGTTTGTGGAAGTTTTCAGTTTTGTAAAATGAAGTTTGCAGAAAACAGTTGTTACTAACACTAAGAAATAGCATTTGAAACTATTTTTATAATTGAGAAGAAAGCTGTATTTCTAAATATTTTAAAAAATATACATCACAGTGACTTTTGAGCGAGGAAAAAGTGCATTAAACTTCACGTATTTCTTCCCTTCCACAAAGAGCAGCTAAAAACCTGCAACATCCCGACACACAGCCACCGAACTCATTTACCACTCTTTCCAAATGCTACAAGCACGTACAAGGGCAAGAGAATACACCCCCTATCTTTTGGTAACGTGTTATTTTCTAGAAAATAAAAAGGGCAGAAACAAATGTACACCCCCACCTGCAGCAAAGATAAACAAGAACCTTGAACAATTTCCTTCTCCAGCCTAGCTAGTGAAATTTTCTCATTCCTGTGATTTTTTCCTTTATTACTTCTATCTTGCGTATCACTACAGGCCAGAGTTTACATCCAGCCAATTCTCCTGCAGGGAAGCCCACTATGATGGGTACGCCAGTCACGCTGCTAGTCAGAATTTGCTGGGGCTGATCTTAGTATGTAACAAAACGGGTCTTTTCACAACAAACAGGACACCAACCTACAATCCTTGGAGGGTTCAGTCAACTGCCAAAGTATGAAGCTTAAACTGAATCATTAAAATGACAAAAAGGAGACAAAGCATATATACTTTTAGAGCTCTAAAATCTAATTGTATGATAACCTACTAGGGGAGACAAACAGGTTTCGATATAAAATTTTCACTCAAAAAAAAAAAATTAAAAAAAAATAAAATTTTCACTCAAGTTGAAAGAGTGATGAAAATTATTACCTGGAGTAAAGTGAGCCTACTGAAAGCACACACTAACTTAAAAGTAAATCAATTACCAGTTAACATCACTGCTCAAACTACCAGCAGCCAAATGTGCCCCCTCGTAATGTGAGGGTAAGTGGAAAAAGTGTTGCTGCAAAGTCATAGAAACCATTACTGAACAAGGTGAAACTGCTGTCTCCCCTGGGTCTGTGCACTTCGGAAGGGGTTCCATTTCTCTAACCTTTCCCTGAATCAAGCTGTGCTCCTCCCAAGAAGCACTGGCACTGTGAGGTGCCATTGAGTCGGCTCTGACCCAGAGCAACCCCATGCACAAGACACGTCCCACCCTTCCTGAACAGAGTGCGGTCGTGGGAAGGTTGAAGGCTGTAGGGCTGGCGCAGTAGGGTTTCCCAGTGACTTTCATAGGACAGCCCCTGCTGCCCTCAGAAAATGAGCACGTGTTAGTGTGATGGAAATAATTCCTTGTGCAACTATCCTAGATTTTAAATCACCAATGTACTTTGAAGTTTTCTTAAAATTTCTTCATAATTAAGCCCCTGTGACTGTCTTGCCTTTGAAAAAAATCTACCAAGATTACCCCTTGGAGTCCTCCAGAAAGTTGTCGCTGTTTGGGTTGGACCCCCTTTTTGGGGGAAGGCACCATAAAGAGACGAAGAAAAGTACATCAACGAGAATGTCTTGCAGCCGTTACTAATCGCAGACCTCCACATGATTTTTATGGAAATAAACTTGAGCCTGTATGATCTGGAGTCCCAGGAGCAACGCTTTTTGATGTACCCTCATCTAAAAGAATATTTACTGGTGCCCTTTTACTGGGCACCAGATCAAAGGTCATTTAGTTTTAGGGCAATCCCAGTGAACTCTCTACTGCTCATTTGATCAACATTAATTTTTCTCTAGTGTCACACAGCGTATCTCCCAAAATATTTTACACACACACAAAAGTTTACATGTCTTCAATTGAGCAAAATCAAGCCATTAAGTAAAAATATTTTTTAAAGGGTCTTAAAGTCAAAGGTAATGTTAAACTGTTAAAAAATAATCCAACAGGAAAGAACTATCGATCATTAGGACAGCGGCATGTCCACGTAAAACATTAAAACGCATCACCATTACACATAGAATGAAAGGCTAACAGCAGTCGAGTTGTGTGCGATCCAGATACAAGAAATCTTAATGATACCACGTTCTGAAGATAACATCTAGTTGGTTGTCATCCCTCATCGGAACCCCTTGAGCTGTGTTCTAATAGTTAAAAACCTTCAAAAGAAAGACACGAAGGGAGAGTTAAAAAGAACGAGATTTCATGGAGCCGCTCTTGGACTGCCAGAACAGAATGTTGTTTACAGAAAGTACTAATTCCCCACCCTCCACAGTTACTTTCCAAAACTCTAAGGTTCAGAGCGCTGGTCTATAATTCCTGGTAGAGGAAGCTCTAGGATCAGAAACAGGAATGTTTGACTTCATAGGGACTTCGAAAATACATTAGAAATCCTTTCTTAAACAGCACCTGTTTTGAAGCACATGTATTTATTATACCTAAGGATTTTAAAATTCAATTTGCTATATTTAAGACAAAATCATAACTACTTTAAAATATACAACAAACTATACAGCTTGGGCACTCAGATTCATTTATTATTTGTCATCAGGAAGCATTTTTAAACAAAATAACGCACTGTGGATATTTATTCTAATATATTCCAAACAATCTCATTTTCATTACCCAAATCACCCTGTAAACAAGTACAAGAATGATTAATGTATCACTACTGTATTAATCAGTAATAGCAGGGATTATGTCAAGCCCTGCTTTATTCTATACAAAGAGCACTGAGTAGCTACTGGATTTACCAAGAAGCTACCTTGGTAATACACTAGGGCTCCAACAAGTTGATGGAAAAATCCGGTGATCTTTTAATTCCTTTTCCCACACTTTTTTTTTAAACTCTCAGTACAGTTAACACTATGTTGACTAATATCAAAGTAGGAAACACTCTAGGTTACAATAATTTCAACCTGAAATTTCTTTTAAAATGAGGCAGGTTTGTGTTTGCTGGATGTTCCAATGTTTATTTAGAGATTACAGAAAAGGCCAACATCACAGGATAGCAAAATACAACACACAAATTCTAAATGACTTTTGGTTATCTTCAGCTACCAAGTTTTGCAACTTTCTACTCTATGTGGCAATGCTATACATGCCAAGTTAAAACAGTGTTAATAATAATAGTTAAAAGCCACCTGAACAGAAACCAGTCAATAAACATGCTTGTAGCCTACCAAGATACATATATGGAAAAGATTCATTTCCTGCCGCTTGAAACTCACACCTATGAGAGCAGTTCAACTTAAAACAGAAGCATGCAGTGTTAACACAACTCTTAAAGGTTGGTGGCCCAATCCCCGCAAAAAAGAAGTCCATCTTGAGAGTGACTGTATCAAATACATTTTTAAAATCTGTGTAACTTTGAAGTACTTGCACAAGTGATGTATTTTAACTGAAAATATTTTAATCTCACAAAATAATAAAACAACTTTACAACAATTTTAACTCTTCAGCCCCAAAGTAGTAACACAGAATTGAAACTTAAAATAGATTTCCCAAAGAATTAAAAAAGAAAACAAAAGGCACTCAGCTGTCAGATTGATCCCACATCACAGCGACCCCCTGTAGGGCAGAGTAGAACTGCCTGCAGACCTTCGAAGGCTGTCGTCCATCTTTACAGAAGTAGACTGCCCCATCTTTCTCCCACAGGGTGCTGGGGACTTTAAACTACCAAACTAAGGCTAGCAGCTTCAAGTTTAACTACTGCATCACCAGTGTCCCTTCCTTTCCCAGGTGCAGCCCTGGCTACTGCATAACAAGTCAAGACCAATTAGCAGATCAACTGAAAACAAAAACTATTTTTATAAACAAGGGAAGTAAAACTAATTTTGACAGAAAAATCACTATGAAACAGGTATGTTCCAAAGAATCAGAAAATGTAATGTAAATAATGTTACCTATTTAAATAAGTTATTTTAAAATCAAAAGTGTTGCTTTAAGATCTCAAGTTATTAGGACTTGCTTAGTGTCAGTCAAAGAAATAGTGGCAAAGCTGTTACAAATGCAATCAGGAAAGCTAGACAACAGATCTTCTACTTAGTAGCTTCTACACTTTAATAATGAGAAAAACAAGCCTCTGGAACAATGTATTGCAACAATCAGTTACACATATTGTTTCCAAGTAGTTGATCAAACAAATTATTATATCATGTCTGCTACTGGCTGATTGTTGCAACACAAAAACATACATGACATAATCAAACACAGCACACAGTATTACACCAAAGTGATTTTCTCATTTCAAGTTTATTAAAACTTTATCAGTACAAATTATCCAGATTGCAGATTATCAAAAGATCAACTAAATGAAGTCCACATTAAAAAAAAAAAAAGGACAAACATAAAAAACAACAAAGAGGAAAACAACATAAAGGAGATCCAAGTCTCTAAAACTTAAAAAATTTGAGACAGAATGAAAATAGTTTATAAGTTTACACAACTCACTCATCCACTTTTGTCTTCATCTGTTCCAGGGCTTGATTCGTGATCAAATTTTTTATTTTTGTCATGTGCGTGGTCATTTTCTTGACCCTTTGATTTTGGGTTGGTTTCTCTTTCCACTGAGGATCTCGTTTTCTCTTCCTCCTTGGTTTTCAAGGTGGATGACTTCAACTCACTGTCCTTACTACTTGGTTTAGCTTTTGAGAATGGGCTCTGCTCTCTGTCAGCCTTTTTCTCCCTGTTAGTAGTTGAACTATTATGATCGCGGCTCTTAGAGTATATTCTCTTCTCACTTTCCGAGTTTTCTTTTCTGTGTGAACTCTTACTTTCTTGGTTTCTGTATTTGTCCTTGTTTCGACTTTGACTTTCTTCTCTCTCTGAGCTCCGAGAGTCTCTCCTCCTCCTCCTCCTGTCTTTGCTTCTAGATCTTCCTGGTGATGCTCTTCTCTCTCTGCTCCGGGACCTCCCTCGCCTCCTGTACTCTCGGTCTCGGTGTCGATGGTACTCTTTGCTGCGGCTGCGATCTCGGTCTTGGCTTCTCGATCGCCCCCTTCTGCTCCTGTCCCTGCTTCTGCTTCGGTCCCTGGTTCTACTATTGTAACTGTGTTTGCTTTTAGGTAGATCCCGTTCCCTACTCCTGGACTGCGCATGTCTATCCTTCTCCTTACTCTTATGATCATGCTCATTACTCTTGGATTCTACCTGTTTAGACTTCTCTTTACTCCTACTCCGTTCCTGATCCTTCCCTTTAGACTCTGACTGCTTTTCTTTCTCTTTAACACTTTCATGATCTCGTTCTTTACTCTTTGATCTCACCCTCTTATCTTCGTGTCGATTGTGCCTGGAATCTCTTTCCTTACTCTTTGATTTCTCTTTGCTCTTACTCCTACTTTTAGATTTGGCCCGTTTCTTCACTTTGTTTTTATTATACTTATCATCTTTTTCAGAATTTCTTCTGATGTCTCTGTCTTTGCTACTAGATTTATGGTCTTTAACTTTCTGTTCTTTTTCACTTTTTTTGTTAGGACTCTCAGATACATGTCGGTGATCAGTTATTTTTCTCTCTTTTACTCTAATTGGACTTCTTTGATTTTCTTTTATTTCATTTAACTCACTCCTGAAAAGAAAAACAAGTATCTTAGAAAGTTTCCTATGAAAAGAATCGTGTGTATTATTAACTAAAGTTACCTTCAAGCATTCAGAAACCAAACGACTATAGTAACTTTCTTCACAACAGTCTGAAAACTACCTGTTCCATGCATGGGAAACATATCAAGTTAAATCGTACTTATCCCCTTTGATCCATCTTTCTCCACTGGATACTCTCATTCTCTGAGCTCTTTGCATCTCTTGCCTCCAATGTGGAGGAGTTTCACTACGTCTGAAACGATCCCTTGATCTGGATCTAGAAGGAGTTCGATAACGCTTAAAAACATAAAAAGGAAAAATCATTGTATTAAAAATACAAAACACTGAATAATAGCTAAAACTCTATCCTAAGCAAATAGTATTTCTAGCGTCAAATGAAATTTTTGATATTTCTTTATACACTAAAACTTCCATTTTAAGTAGACAATCAATCCGAGAAGTAAACTTTAAACCATGTTCCAAACAAACAGCACCCACTACAAAATATTCTAAGTTTCCATGGCATTCATTTCCCTCAGTTAGATTCTTGGAAGACTCCTAACCAAGGGTGGTCCAATAACTCTTTAACAGTTGTCAAGTTTCAATTTGGATGTAGGCATACGCTTAATGTTTCAAAGCAAGCATTTCTCAAATGTACAGATGTTCATATACTCAACAAACATCTATTCATCCCTTAGGATGAACAAGCATTCTACCACATACTGGAGAAAATTCCAGTGAACCCAAGCACATCTCATTTTTCTCTCTTGGAATTTGTACTCTACTGAGCTAGGAACCAGGGAGACACACAATCACGACAATAACCCAATCTGCAACTGTAACTACTCTCTGTGTTGAGTGTAGATGGAAAAATAAAAGGTGGTCACAGTTTATACCAAAGATACTGGATCTAATATGTGGAAAATGTGCAGACAGGTAAGGGATACTAAAAAGTTGAGAATTAAAGGATGTTTATAAAAGAATCTGTTGGGCAAGGGTAAAGAAAAGAGGATAAAGAATGGGGGAAATCATCATTTGAGGCATAAGAACTACCATATTTGAAGGTCCATGTTCTAAAAGTAAACAATAACTGTTACCAGTACAGCTAATATTTAAAACTACGAAGGAAAGTGATATTAGGTAATACTGATAAAAACAGAATACTAGACTGCATTTTAAGAGGTATTAAAGACCATGGTAAAAAGCCTATCTATCCTAAAATCAGTGACACAGGGGAGGGATGTCATCAGATTTTTATTGCTAATTGCTCAGTCTTGGTTACTGTTGTAAAAAGGCTTAGAACAGTGATTGTTTCCGTGTGGTTTAGGAGGTCTGTGAGGTCAGAACTCTGCTCATCCTCATACATCAGTATTTCCCCTTTCCACTTTTTTTCATGACTGTGCAATGGAGCTTCTTTCCAGGCGACACGACAGGCTCTGATGGCCTTGCAGCACTAATGGGATGTGTACTTACCTATCCTTGCAGTGTTAAGTATGTTTTAATTTCTAAAATGGTTATTATTGACAGATACATCCCACATCAACAAAAACCCTTTGAAAGCACAGTCATTTTTTTTAAATGTAAAGGGATCCTAAGAGAAAAAAGTGTAAGAACTGCCAAGACACCAGTCAGGAAGTCCTTGTTCTATCTAGTTCAGATAATAGATGATGGTGGATTGAGTAAAGATGATGGAGTGGACCTAAAGAGGAGCAGGGAGTCTCAGAGACTTGAGGACACAAAGCTGCACGGATTCAGAGATGCTGAGACACTTTGGGTATGAAAGGAGGAGAGTCAAGGTGGTTTTTGGTTTCAGTACACAGATGGCAGTGCAAATCACCAAGACCAGGAATCTAAAGGAGGCTCACGTTTGAAGAGCAAGTGTTCAGGCTGATTGTTGTGTATGCTACATTTGAGATGCCAATAGGCATCTGAGTGACTGGCTATAGAATAAGACTTCAGTGCTAAGAAGGGAGCCTGGGTAGCCTCTAGCCACAAGGTCAGCAATTCAAAACCACCATGGGAGAACGACAAGGTTTCCCACTCCCATAAATGAGTTAAAGTCTCAGAAACATACGTAGGCAGATAGGTTCTACCCTGCCCGATGGGTCGCTGTGAGTAGGAGTAAACTAGATAGATGGGAATGAGTCTGGTTTGGTTTTAAGTACTAAGAAAAGTAATGACAAGTTGACACTAAGTACCGTATATAGGCAGCAACTGACTTTGTGCAAATGATGAGATTGCCCAAGGAGTATTTGTAGACTGAGAAGAGTTGGAACTTCAAGGCATTCCAATATTTACAGGTCAGGAAGAAAAATATGAATTGACATTGGAAATTTAGGGCAAATGTATACAGAAAGGAAGAAAATGCCATGGAAGCAGAAGGGAAAGAATATTTCAAGGTGTGAGGTCACAGCACATGAAGACTGAGAAGGATCCACTGTATTTTGGGACATGGAAGTAATGGTACAGCAGGAGCGGTGTGCAGCAGCAGCACAAGAAGACAGAGTACCCTGTTGACGAATGATTGTTAAGAATTACGATACTAGCCACATCTTTCCTAAATTTTATTTGTATGATAAAGTAATACTTAAAAACACACTCTAAAATTATTTCAGAGAGGCAAAAACAATACATCACATAAAGACTCAGGAGAAAAGAGTAACCTACCCTTGGTCCTCTTCCTTTGATTTTCCTGCCAGACCGCGTGACTAATAGTCGCCTCTGATAGGAAGCAGGCTGGGAGTTAGGTGGATTACTACAAACAAATCAAAGGTCAAGTTAAAGGACATTATTTTACTGAGGGAAAAAACCCTAGAGAATAAATATATCTTTAATTATCTAAATTAGTAAATTTAAAATTCTCTATCTATATACAGTAGTTCTCACCCAAGAACTACAGAGAAATTTATCAACTGTGATTCAAGCATACACAAATGAATGAAAAGTTTATATCATGATTATGTAAAAAGGGAACTTCCATTTTCAAATCGTTAAGTACTTGAAAAATTAATTCTAAAGTAGCTTAAACATTTCCCCTTTAATATTTATTTCAATAAAATTATTTCCCAATACTAGTGGAAAAATAAAATCCAGTTAAATCCCTTAAATTCAAATAACTAAATCTTGGCAATGAATGTACAAATGTGCTTTACACAATTGACGTGTGTATGGATTGTGATAAGAGTTGTATGAGCCCCTAATAAAATGATTTTAAAAAAAGAAAATTCACTTAATAACATGTCCACTCCTTTCACATCTCTCATTCCTCTACAGCAGTAGTTCTCAACCTTCCTCATGCCGCAACCCCATGCCGCAACCCTTTCATACAGTTCATGTGGTGCTGAGCCCCAACCATAAAATTATTTTCGTTGCTACTTCATAACTGCAATTTTGCTAGTTATGAATTTTAATGTAAATATCTGATATGCAGAATGTATTTGTGTTGTTACAAATTGAACATAATTAAAGCAAAGTGATTAATAAAAAATATGTAATTATAAAAAATAAAAAAACAAGTACAGTGAACCCTCGTTTATCGCGGTTAATCGGTTCTAGACCCTACCGTGATAAATGAAATTCCGTGAAGTAGGATTCCTTATTTGTAAATCAAATATTTTCGTAGTTAGAGCATAGAGGACATGAAAAAACACCCTTTAGTCACCATTACACTCGTATTACCCAATTTATTAAACGAAAAAGGGAAATGCAGTAAAACATTTTGGACGTTACAATTATCATTTATTATTATATTATGAAGTACAACGGATGGAGCGAACGGGAAGACTCATTCAAGTCGAAATGGCGTGCAACCTCCACGATTTTCTTGCCATCTTTGATCATATCCAAAAGTTTTACCTTTTCCTGGATGGTGAGCATCTTCCTCTGGCGTTTATTTTTATTGTCAGAAGGCTTAGGAGAAGAAGCTCGTTTAGGAGCCATCATAGGGCTTAGATAAAATTTCTTAAAAATCGCAAACAATTACAGTACACTGTACAAAAGCAAAAATGCATCTGATACGTAGCTCCGATCGATACGTAGCGATGCAGACAGAAGCGTGTACAGTATGAGCCAATCAGTGGCAGTAATGACAGAGCATGCGCTGTTAAGCAAAAACCGCGATAGAGTGAAGCCGCGGAAGTCGAAGCGCGAAGTGGCGAGGGTTCACTGTAACTAAATCTTCCTTTTATTTTACTATATTATGAAAAGCATAGAAGGATCATTTAGAATTTTATCACCTGTATATCATAACCAAAGGAGTCCTGGTGGTACTGAGTGCTGGGTTGCTAACTGCAAGGTCAGTGCTTCTAACCCACCAGCCTGTCCCAGGGAGAAAGATGAGGCGGTATGTTCTCATAGATTTAGATACTCAGAAATGCTATATAGGGTCATCCTGCATTGAAATAGACTCAGTGACAGAGGGTATGTTTTTTTTTTATGATGCTGTAATTAGGCGACCTGGTTATATATTGGTTAAAGCATTTGTCTGCTAATTAAAACAGGCAGTTTGAACCAATCAGCTGCTCAGAGAAAGATGTAGCAGTCTTACTACTATAAAGATTATACCCAAACTACTGTTAGTACATTAATTCCAATTCGTAGGAATCCTATGACTGTCCCTAGGGTTTCTGGGAATAGATAGCCTCATCCTTCTCCCAAGGATGGCTAGTGGGTTAGAACTGCCACGATTGCAGTTAGCAGCTCAACATGTAATTTACTATGCCACCAGGCTTGGAAGGCCAACAGGGTAGTTCTGTCCTGTCCCATAGTCAGAAGTGACTTGATGGCAATGGGCTTGGATATTATAACCACATACTTTGTTTGAAATTAAGAGGAAAATTTCTACTTCTTGACATAACTATTAAAATGACCCATCAGAGAACCAATAGATTTACTGATGCTAGTATTGTAGATTTAGAAATAACACATTACCAAAGCATTAAAAAATGGCATGAATTTTCATTATAATATTGTGTATTAGGAAAGCAGCATTTTTCTATTAAACAAATTGAAAAATTCAATTCTTACTTGCTAAAAAGTTTAACAGATACTAAAACATAGCACTTTCTCATTTTAAATGGAATAGGTTTGTAATGTGATTCAATTGATCTTTATTTGCACCGGTAGCTTTATTTAAAAAACAAAAACAAAAAAACTCACTCAAAATCACTTTCCAATTTGTTAGTTGATCTCTCTAGATATGTTTATAGCAACAGAAAGCTTTGCTAGCAGCATCAATTAAAAATATTTCAATTTTGGGACAAGAATACCAATTTAATTTTCTAAACGAGGAGGAGATCCTGTGGCTACGAGTATAGGCCGCTCTATAAAACAGACACATTCCCTTACCACTCTCTTTCTCTCTCTCTCTCTCTGGGTTTTCTCTCTTTCTCATCAGCTTTAGGAGGGCTTTTTCTCATTAGGAATCTATTTTCTGGGATAGGAGGGATCTCTTCTGGGCGTACGGTAGACTGGGGTTGTGCTTCAGGATTTTCAGCTTCACTTTCACTGGATGCGCTTAACAAACAGAAACACACAAAACAACGTACATTTAATTATATGTAATACTAATTTCCAATATTTGTATTAAGACATCACATATACATATTTTCCTGTTCTCCACATAGATGTTATCACACAGGGAAATCTTTTCTCATTCCTGACAAATCAAGTAACCAAAAACCAAACAAAGTATTTTGTCATACTTTCAAAATACATCTTCCTTAAAAATAAAACCAAAATATGAACTTTGTGGTTATTATATTCTGATGAATCAAAAAACATTTTTAAATATAAGTTTTAGTACAAACAGGATTTCAGGAAAAATGGGGGAAAAAAGTAAATACTTTGCCATTATTTGTCTCCTAATGCTATCAATCATTAAGAACAAAGGAGTTAAAGAATAAAACTGCAGGAGTGACTACTACAAGAAATAAGAACAATTGTTGGTTTTCTAGAATTCTTATGAATCCTATTTTTCATATAAAATTCACAAGCTGATAAAACCTGAAGAATTTTTCCAATGACTGCATATAAAACCATTAGATTGGTTTTGTTAAAAATGTGAATGTACTTAAATGTCATCCACAAACTGAAGAATTTCAAAATGATCTTGTGCTAACTTTGCTGTATATCTTCCTAGTTTAATGGGCTAGCAGAAGGTGATCAGGACATAGTCTTTAAGACACAATATCTAGATAGGATTTATATCTCTTCGATATAAAACTGGTTTTATCAAAGTAAATCAAGACCTTTTCTTGCTTTTCTTTCGCTTCTTCTTTTCCTTCTTGTGTTTTCGGGAATTTTTTCTATGCTTCTTTTTTCTCTTTCTGGATTTCTCTTCAGAAGCACTTTCGGAATCAGAAGAGTCAGACGAGGACTGAGAATCACTTGAGCTATCAGAATCGCTGGAAGATGAGGACGACGACGAAGAGGACGATTTGTGCCTTTTCTTTTCTTCTTTCTTAGCTTAAATTCAAAAACAAAACTGTCTTGGTAACTTTTAAAGATAATCTTTGTAAGTGTTAATTTTCTGCAGATCCTTACTTAGGCCCAGTGTTTAACATTTAGCTCATCCAACTATTTGAACTACGGGGTACACAATAAAAAGTGATTTGGCTCATTAGTATACGTTAGAAAAGCTTTATAATGCACTGTACTTGCTCTCAGAGAACTAACAATCTATTTGATTTGAAAAAATAAGAATGTGAATTCAATCACAATAATCAGAGAAGATATACAAACTATAAACACTGGTTATAAATCGAGTAAGACTTTTGCTAGTTGGGGGTATATTTTCCAGTATATAAAATCAAGGGCAATGTAGCAGAGAGGACTTTCCAAAACCCAAATGAAGGCCTAACATGATAGCGGGACAAGAAGAAAGTAAAAGGAAACAGAGGAAAGAACTAGGAGGCAAAGGACATTTGTAGAGGTCTAAATACAGGCATGTACATATGTAAATACATTATATATAGCGATTGGGAATAGATTGATGAACATATGTTTATTTGTTAAGTAGTAAGGCAGCAGATGGAGATTGGGCCTCCACTCAAGTACTCCCTCAATGCAAGAACACTTTGTTCTAATAAGTCGGCATTCTGTGATGCTCACCTTCGCTGACACAATCG